ATTATAAGCTGGCTTGATTATGAAACAGGAAATGTATAAACCAAAGCTGTACTTTCAGACGTCTAGCGCAATTAAAACAATGCCCAAGTACCCAAGTACCCAAGCTGTAAAAATCTGTAGAAAAACGTGTTTTTCTTTATTGTTTTTGCCATAAATACAAATGATTGGGCATAATTTTTTCATTCGTTCCATGCTCCTGTCGCTGCTGGTCAAATAAATTCTATCGAAACTATTTTATATCGTCACCAAATCAACCACCACGCCAGCCACAGCCACGCAAGTTATTCCCAGTTTTCAAGAAAAAAAATTGGAGTTTGCCGTACCAGACTTGGTAAACAATTGTACAACGGAATTACAAGTGTGGGTCAGACTCTGAGAATGCTACCAAATCCGACTTCAGGCATCACTACACATTGTCAGTGAAACATGACTTCAGGCATCGCTACACATTGTCGGTGAAACGTTGAATCGTCGTGTACGCTAAGCAGCACGGTCGGCGAGCAGCCGTTCATATGTATTTGACATTTGTTATTCCCATAACACTAACAGTATTTTTACAGAATAAATTAATTGCAATGATACATCATTAATAATAATAATTATTTGTCTGTTTTGGTTGTGTGTGTTTGCCTATTCCTTCCCCATTTCACAATGAAAAAGTTTGATCACCCTGGTTTAAGAGCCACTGGCTACAAAGTTGTCAAAATGTTACCTCAAATAAGCACCACCCAGAAATGAAAGTGTTACAAAGTGGCTCTTATTTGAGGGTTTTTATGGTAGTCATGGTATTTTCACGTTGAACCAATTTTTTTAAAAAAGTTGTCATTAAAAACCAAAAAATTACCACAGCTGGCCTAGTCTTGTGAACACTAAGTGCCTCAGTAAACGGAAGTAAAATATGCCACAGTGAATAATAAAACTCACCATAATGTGTTCAGGGTGGTTAGGACACATCCATCTCCCAGTTGGCAGTGTTGTCAGCGGAGGATCCACACAATCCATGTGGAATAGTAACGGACAATAATCACACTGCAATAACGCAGCATGTCTACAACTCCTGTAAAACAAACCATAGGTCAATGTTACAACTTGCATACACACACACAAAAATAAATTATCAATACAATACAATATAAAATTCATCTTTCAACTACGTTCCATACACAGCACAGAACGTTCCATGTTACTAAGACATGCACCACTGTACCATGTATTTCTATGGGCTTTGAGCGAGCTTGCTGTGGAACGCCGGTAGAGGAGCCGATGAAAACAGCTAAAGTCAAGAAAACGACACAAAATCTAATTTTAAGGTAATCCTGAGCAACCAAATTTATTCATGTTGCACATGTAGGGGTAATCTTTCTACACTGTTCAGGAGAGTCTTGACAACAAGCCTAAAGTACTGTTTCCTGAGAGTTTCAGCTTTTATTTTCATTGGTGATGGTTTCCAGGCTGTGCAAAATACACGGATGTTCACTCTCGAGAATATGTTAAGTTTGAATGAAATTGATCAATGCATTGCTAAGAACAGACTGAAACATATTTTCATCCTGTTATTTGATTCCTTTTACCTAAAAGTACCTAAATATGCAAGAATCATCATAAAGCCACTGCACATTACAAGGTTTTTTTCAAATCAGATCATGCGTTTGTGAGTTATTATGCGTAACAGACAAGCCGAACCATATCCATGAGATCGCAACTCACGTCACACGACTTACCTGCTGCAAATAAAGCATACTTTGGCTGGTAACGATACCAGACCATTATTATCCAATTCATTTGGTTTCTTGACATTTTTACCAGAATTTTCCTCCTTTTTCCGCTTTTTACTTGTGCCTGTAAATTTAAGTAAGAAATTTCAACTAAGAGATGTATGAATTTCTAAACAGCCTAGACATATTCATTGTCAAATACGTGTAAAGGGGTTAATTATTCACTGGATTTTAATTTTGCTTATTTCACTGACTGGAAAATGCACTAAAAATGTGCAAAATTAAAACCCAGTGAATATGTAAAATTTAGCATAGAACACATTATCTAAGTGATAAAACCGTGAATTTAAAACCCACTGAATATGCCTGAAATGGTAAATCAGTGAAATTTTAACCCAGTGAAAATTAGTCATTTTACAGTATGTAACTCTCTGAATTGTGAGTAAGGTTCATAAAGATGCGTGTTTCGGTACCACACTCGGTACTCCACATCAGAAGCCTTAACCAGCAACTGCTAAGCTAACAGTAAATGATTATCCCATTTTCTCCATCTACAATATTTTCCCAGAATCAAATATCCAGTCATGAGAACAAAAGTAAATGAATTCAGAACCAATAGCATGCATTAGAAAAAATTACAGTAATCATGACCATGGGCACTTAAATGTGTTCAAATTTGATGTAAATCAACATCACATTTGAATGCACATGGCTGAGTCAACTACCAGGCATTATTTGAATCTTTAACTCACCTGGCAACGGATAGCTAAGGACCATTTCATTTGGCAATACAAACTGTTTTGGATTTTCAACTGATGCGGCTCTGACTAACATCTGTAACGGTGACTCCTCAACTTGTGGCGATTCAACTTCCATATCCGAGGTGTCATCGTCTTCCTCCTCTTCCATCAAGAGTTCTCTATTGGCTGACAGCTGTCTAAATAGTAACCGTTCGTGCAGCCTCATAATTGGTTTATTTGGTTTTTCCCTGTCACTTAGACTGTGAATTGATGATCTATTAGTAGCTGTGCTAGTGGTGGAAGACGTATCATCGTGCTCCTGAAATAAATCAACAGTTATCACGGATTGGATTTTTCAGACAGAATATTTTTTTGTTTACTGAATTAATTTCTTACTCTAGTAGTTACTTCAGGAGGGCTATAATTTCTGCTGGAGGAGGATGTATTGGATTTTTCAGACAGAATATTTTTTTGTTTACTGAATTATTTTATCTAGCCTGACCACCAACAGCAGAAAATTATCTTTCCCTTCATGCCAACTTATTCAGAGGGCACCCAATTTCAAGTTTCTATAATATATAATATATTTAAATAATTAATAATATTTTGAGTATAAAGGTATACATGGGACAGATGGGAGGCATTTAGGCAATCGAATCCATGTAATCCTTGAATTTCTAGCACTGAAACTACTTGTCTACTATTCAGCGTCTTTAACACTTTGAGTGCCAGATATTTTTACTATCCACATTAAAAAAAAAAAATTCTCAAGATTTCACCATTATTTTGGACTATACCAACAGTTTCAGATATTGCTCTTAATTTCTAGTCAAAGGGTTTGTCAATTTTTATCAACATTTTATGTTAGCAAACTGTACAAAATCATTTTGCCAAAAGTTGATGAAACGGTTCTGAGTGCCAAATTTGTGTCACCAACCATTTTTCCCGTTTTTATGCATATTTTCATAATTTCTTTGTTAATTTTAGACTAAATAGACATATTTTCTCACTAGCTACAGGTTTTAATCAAAAGTTGGGTGCTCAGTGATTTAAAGATGACAATCATAGAATTGGTGAACCATCAATAGAATTAGTGTGTCAACGTGTTTTTTAAGAGAGTACATGAATGAAACCACCATATATAATATTAAAAATCTCTATGCATGTCCAATGATCTGCCTGAATTGACATAAAGCAAATTGATTTTACCTCTCCAGGAGAAACTGTACAGCGATGACATAACCACTCCCCTGGTGGCAAATCCTCTTCTTCCAGCGGCGGATCACTACAACAAACAAACAAACGGAAATTAGTTCACTGATAAGTCAATATAATATGACAATTTAAACAGCTGAAAGTTGAAAATTTCCATTTTGTCAAACTACCTGTCTTGTCAAAAATGAGACATTACGCGGTTTCTTTAAGAGGCAACATGCCACTATAATTTAGGAAGTTGTCCATATCCTAAATGACACGTTTATGCACCTATTTTTCCAAAATCTGCGAATCAATCAATACAATTTGACCACCTAGTTTTTGTAGTTCTTGCTGCTGCAAGATGACTTTGACCCTGACCTTAAAATACAACTACATGACAATGTCTCCCATCTTTCAAAGTGTTATTTCAAGAACAAGTTTATTTACCTAGGGGAGTATGTGTATAACAACACTTCAATGTGGACGTACTATTACAAAGAAGTAACAGAACAGTGGTCAGGTGGTTTTATCAACAACTGTATTCAAACTGAGGTAGGTACCCTGGCAAATTAACCACAAAGTCTTGTGACTAAGGAGAGTTGTAAGAAATTCAGTGTAGGAGTATGAGCAGGCCTCATAAATTAAGCTAGAATTGTAAACAATAGACACCTACTGAGTTCGGTGGCTTAGTTTATATTTACTGGCCAGTTTAAAAGGTGGTGGGCGTTGTGCCACACATGTGCCAAATATGGGTCCTGTATGAACAAACATGGAGAATGACTGTTAACAATGTGTAATAAAGAACTATCAATTTCCATTATAAATTTTTTTTAATAATAACTGATTACGGGATGAACCTAAGAAGCAATTTCAACAACGGAGAGTATTTTTAAACAGAACCTATTACGTACAGAAGATGTTTTTTCCATTCTATTTTCCCCAAAGGAGATATTTGAACCCAGTAGGGAGATAAAAAAAGCATGGCTCAATGAACAGTAATAATGATACAAACTTGCTATCAATCCAACAAGCATTGTTCTGTATCTAGCGTACCATACTCTACTATGTTTTTAACAGACTGCAAATTTAGAATAATATTCTGATTTTGTTAGCTATTCTGATAAAGTATAAAAATATTGTTTTTTGAGAAAGATGAAAAACAGTTTATACAAAAAAAACATAGAAGCTATAAAAGAAACTAAATATTAATCCAAACATTAGTATGTTTATGTAAATATAATTTTTCAGGAGAGAAACAATTGTCATAGTAAAAGCCTACCGGTACTCATAATTTTTGAGAAAGTTGGTTATAAATCGTATGACAATGTTCATTGAAAAATCATGAAACTATTGTTCTCATGGCAACATGGATTTCACATTTTTTTGCGTTACAGTGACATATTTTCAGAAACTTGCCCTATTTTTGCTATTTTTAGAACAATTCCATAGAGCACAATGTTTAGAAAAAAATTTTAAAACCCAGATTTTTGAAATAATTGACAGTACGTAATTTTTTTAGCATTTGTCATCAGCCTACATTTTGAGATATGGCATAATATCTCTGCTATAGGAACCTATGGTAAAAGCACTGTAATACTGATAAAATGGCAACTATCAACTAAAATACAACCATAATTTTCACAAAAATTAAGCTAGTGATCCCGAACATTTTTTTAAGTCAATGTCCTTATATTGCCTGGAAATACAATTAATTGGAAAATAAATAAATTCATTGTACCTAAAATGATAACAAAATATTTATAATAAATTTCCTCTTAAACATGACCTTCAAAACAAACCAAGAATTTTTATTCTGAATACACTACATTTATTGCCACAAAAACTAGCAACATTGATGAAGCGACCCAAGATGACCTTTCAACTCAAAGTACATTCAATACCTGATACAAAATACTGACTCTAAAATGGCACAGGTTTGGATGGTGACAGATGTATTCCATACTACCGGTAAATCAAAGTTCACAACACAACTCTATATTGCATCCATGAATATTTCCAGAGTTTCAAGGAAGCAGTTTAACACACCGAAGTGGGGGTGGGGGATGGGGAGGGGCAAGATGCTATAAAAACAAAATCACCAAGTTCCAAAATTACAAATTTTGGAATCTTAGAATTTGTGTATTAATTGTGTAAAATATATATTGAGAGAAATATTCTGTAAAAAAAAAAGTCACCTATTGTTATTATTTGTAATAATGCAATCAGTACATGTGGGTACTTGCATAAGCACATGAATATGAAATAAAATCAGCACAGTACAAGGCCAAAAAGTAAGATTTATATTAGATTTGGTCCTGCAATATTTAATAAAAAGAAGCACCTATTTTCCCTTTTTTTTCGGCACCCAAAATGTTTATTTTATTTTATGTATTTCTTTTCTATAATACTTTGACAAAAAACAGCAAAGAGTACTTTGTTTGAAACTTGTGTGCACACTGACAAGAAACCTGTTTTTCCCCATGAAAAATGCACAGATGATTATTATTTCTCATGGTCAATTTGTACTTTCAAGAAAGTACCAGGATGTGTGACCTTTAGGGTCATGGATACTGGATAGTACCAGGATGTGTCACCTTTAGGGGTCACAAATAGTACCAGGATGTGTGACCTTATGATGGCGTTCAAAGCATTCAAGAATGTTCAGTTACAAAATTGTGCAGCTTTCCAAGACTGACAGAATTCATTTCTCATTAAAATAAAGTTTCTGTGGTACATTTCATACCTAGTGGCAAATACAAAATATCAATCATAAAATCTTCATTCAATCATCCATACAGTGAAATTTATCTTTATTTCCATGACAGTAATATTTTTCATTTATGACAGATAGATCACAGATAATTAATAATTGTCAATTGCAATAGGGCTCTCTATCCATTATTAGAAACTAAATAATTTGTGTTGCATTATATGCTACATATACATTGTAATATTTAATTACCAGGGCTGTTCAATTCAGTAATAAACCCTTTTAATGGGTCTTATGAGTAGCTTGTGTTTACAAATTTATATGCTAGCAGATGTCTAAAGCTGCTATGAAGTAATGCCTTCAAGTACGATAAAACCTATGTATAAACCACCACCTATTCAGCCTATATTGAAATGACCTTTATGAGATGATTGAATAATTGATTAATTCATGAATGATAAATATGATAATAATTTCTAAACATATTTAGTCAATACATGTACAACGATGGCAGTAAATAAATAGCCTTTATAAAACTGGTGATTTGACCAAACTCAGACCAAATGGTGGTCACATTAGACAGACGACCTTTATATACAGGTGGCCAGACACAGGTTTGAGTGTTTAGTATCATTAAAATTACTTTATGTGTGCATAGTAGTTTTATGTTTTCAGTGATACAGCTACATGTGTCCCTGATCTTAGATACCCTCCGTCCCTATTCTATGAATGGAAGAACCCTTCTACAGCACACATCAGGTCATAAGTCCTACCACAACTGACAAAACTACTGTAAAAGAATTAACTTTACACTGAAATTAAATTTCACTGTTCTGCTTATATGTAAGTTAGGGCTTTTAAATTCACAGATTTTTCAATGAAACAAATTATATATAATTTGACATGTTTGCATGGATTTAATTTAGCAGTTTTCACTTAATTTTCAACAATTAGTTTTCAGTTTTCAATAATCAATAAATTTACAGTAACATAAAATGAGAAAAAATAGATTTTAAAATGACAATTAAGCAATAGTATTCCATCCATTCTGCATGCACACACAGGCAGATGGCATAATGCCGTCTGGCTCCATTCAGAACTTGACCTCAAATAAGGTCATACAACACTATGCTAAATTACACTGGTCCAATTGCATACTAATTACCGTACATTGCAAGATCAACTAAACAGATGATGAAACTCCGCACTACTTTAGAAAAATATAAACAATTTAGAAATACAGGAACCAAAATTGATATCAACTGTACAGATGTCTCCATTTTTAACGAGAACAAATAAAAAATAGCTTAAAAAAGTATAAATACGTTGTGAAATTTCATCACACTAATCTATACGTATATCCTATAGTTTTAGATTAATACTGTGAATAGCTTTAATATCGCGAGTGGCAAATTATTATTCATGAATTTCGAGGGTCAGTGAAAATGGTGAAATCTTCTAGTTGTGAACTTTTCCTTGGGGTCCTACGACACGGAGTGTCAGTGACTGTCAAATTTTGTCTCTACAAATGTGATAAGTGTAACAAGAGAACTTGTCTATTAGTTGCCTGTAAAGCATACAAGTTCAAATGAGTTGAAATGCTGAGGAGTGAATAGACCAGCTTACGCATTCACGACTGAAATCCTACACAATGGCCACATAGCATGCTAGCCACTTTTCAATACAGTTTTACATGTACACCACAGTAAGAGGAAACATACTCATCAATTTAATTAAGACTCTTCTAATATAAGTGCAGTTTTACTAATAACACATAGTAATAATATGAGGATGAGTGATATTACTGACATCAGTTACCATTAGCAACTGTGTTTAGAAAGCTACAGCAGTGTTACTGCAATATAGTTGTTTCAACAGATATTAGCCAGCAAATTCGGAACAAAGAAATGTTGTGATTTCTGCTCAAAAGACATCTTGAATCAGACGTAATCGAAAGAATGTTTCTCAGATTGTGTAATTTGACTGAGAAACTTGAGCTTCTCACTAAGAAAATGTTGAAAGAATCAGGAGTAGATGGAACATGCTAAATCTCAGATTTTGAAGGGGCTCTAACGATAAAGGTTATCAGACATATTTAAATTCATCATTTCAACAAAAACTAGAAACTTATTTTTATGGTTAACAAATCGCAAGGTAATTGGTTAATTGGCACAACTGAAATAAATCTTTCTGTATTATATCATTTGAACAGACCAAAGTTGTATCAAAAAGGGACTCTTTCATGTGATGTCCAAAAAGTAGGACAGGACAGTTTGTTGTATACGAAACACATAAATACTGTAAATCGCTTTATTTTCAAGACAAATTTTCACAAATCAGTGAAAAATCGTCTTGAGCTAAATTTTGTCTTCATGAAAGGCATAAAATCACGAAATCAATAAAATTTCTAGCAATATACATTATACATGTTCTCAAACTAAAATGCAAAATTTGCATATAATTAGCATAACAGAAGAACTTTTATTTTATTGTGTGCATGGCTTTAGAAAACCTGAACTATAGTCTCTCCAGGTCACCCAATTTCAAGGTCAAAATTAGAACTATTTTGGATTGGAATATTGAGTAGCAAAGTAAGAATTTAAAGCAATGACCTTTTCAGCATTAAGCTACCCAAACAACCCTAACCCTTAATATCAGCGTTGAATAAATGTAGATTCAAAACTGATGAATTATATTTAGGTTGTTTCAAGTGAAATTACAAAAAACTGAAATGCATTGTAGCAACAGTTATCCAATGACTTCCTATAATGGAAAAAGTATGTTATGATAAACAATGATAAATCAATGATAAGTTTGCCAGTAAATAAATAAGGTGGGTTGAAACATAACACTTAAAAATAATTTCCCTGACCTAATTTCAATACTAATAGTTCAATGTATTTGGACCGTAGTAAGACTTAATATATCTTCAATTGACAACTGGATATTAGGTGACATACAACCAGTAAATATAGACGGTGCTTGAATGCAGAAAATCATAGAAGCGCTGACATGATTAGACGGACTAAGCGGCTACAGCTAAACAAGGCAGAGGATAATAGGTGATAACTGACACACCATTAAAAATCTGAAAAAATCTGACTGCCAAATTAGCAACTCACTGCATTATAGAAACATGAAATATAATATTCCCATATATGAACACTGCTTTATCAATAAAGCGAATAGAAATTATAATAGGTTATATAAATGACCTGTATTTTTCATAATTAATGAATAACACATGTTCATACAGAACACAGGAATAATTCCTGTGATGAAAAGTTCAAGCAGCAGAACAGAAAAAAAAAAGGTGAGAAAATGTCAATCTGTATGTGAATCAGCCAGGTTAAATACAGTTAGAAGCTTTAACCTTTTTTCCACCAGACTTTCTTACCCAAATTTGTCTGTACTATTTTTATATATTCTTCAATATTTTTGGAAATTGAATCGTAATTTCGAAGCTAACAGACAAAATTTTAATCAATCTTCTGAAGGAAAGTGCAGGACTATAAAAAGGAATATTTTGTGAATTTGTGATGAAAGCAGGGAGAAGGTTAATTTTGAGCGAAACTAAATTTCACAAATTTTGTCAGTCAGTGGAAATTCTGCCACAGCAACTTTCACAAGATGTTGTCCTCATGAACGCCAGCAATTTTAAACCATTAAATTGGAAAAATTGCTAGCAGTGAAAATTAAACAGTTTAAAGTAATTATTTCTATTGTTAACAATGTTTCAAACAAATTGGTATTGCATGTTTAACACACACATGACTGGTCATAAACCTGATGACATGAAATGACTAGGCCTTAGCCATTGAATCGAAACTCTGCCTTTGACCATCAAGTTCAAATAAACGTGTAACGGAAAACATACTTATTTTGATTAACAGCATTAACAAATAGAGGATATTCATGCAAAAAAATCCATATCATTATCAAAGGAAGACATGAACTGGTGAGGTCAACCTATGACACCACATGCAGGGAAAACTATATCTACATATTTACATTAAACACACATTATTGCAACTTGTACTATAAGTCAATGCCTTCGTGTAGCAATACAAGTTATGTTGTTGTTTGACTGTATCTCCCATTGAAGATACTCCACCAAGGTCACATAAAAATACAACATGGCGACCTGTAACGTTTCAGAAATAGTGACATGCAGTGCTATGACATCGTGATAGTACTAACACATCAAACATGGCAGAGTTGCTTCACAGATTTGTCTTCCTACGATGTGGTTCCTACACATCTATGTTAACTAACGTGACTTGCAGGTTAATGTTTTCTGGCTCTTGCAAACGAACGCAAATTTAGTTTACTTGTTTTATTTGCGCTGGCACGCTATCGTGCAGCTGCATTTATTTTCCTTTCATGGATTCAGTCAGTGTTGGACGCCATTTTGAATTTCCCTGTGATCTAGAACGACTCCGGCAACTCTCGAATTACCAATGATTTCACATTCGTAAACAGACTAAGAATGACACAAATAGCACCACAAACTGTTCGATATCACACTGTGCATTTGCAAAGCAAGTCTTACCAACAATGAAGATGAAATGCGGCTGGACAACGATCACAACACAACAGATCACCCCCTTCTCGACAACTGTCACAGCTGTCGTGGTTTTGGGTTCGACCAGTTCTCCTGGGCTCTCTCTCAGTTTTCTTCAGCTTCTTTGGTGGCTCGTCACTTTGGGGTGGGGCTACCAAAGCTCGGATGGTCTGCAAAGAGGGAAACGAAGCATTATTGGTAAGATGCCACAGAAAGAGGACATATTGCTCGAAGAAGAAAGAGGGGAAAAGTTGAGAAATTTGCAGTCGAGATAGAGAGTAGTCATACTTACGTCCATCAGCCCACCTGACGTATCCAAATCGTACTCTACCGTCGTCATGACGCTGCCAGTATCTTCTCTCGGAACAGTTCAGATTATATATAAAACACAAATAACAGTAAATAGTCTCTCTGAACTTTAAAAGACACAAATGTCAACACTTAAAGACAGCGACTGCATTCTCTGGCTGTGAGAAACCACCAACTCGAAGCACTTTCGGCGTCTGATAACAGTCGTAAGATCCAAGGAATCGTTCAACTAACAGTCCTTAGAGATAACCTGTTGGTATATCTACGTAACAGTGTTCTTTTTCCTGAAGTTCGTCGCACAATTTCGGCACAAAATCGCCAAAATTCAAGCAAAATTTCACCAAACTTGGCGCAAATTCGGTCCCTGAATTGTACGCATGCGTATTTTGCATTATGATTAAGCACGCATGCGTCGACCAAAATCTGCGCATGCCTAGAGTTATCCAATCGTATTCCACACAACTTTGAAGGCCGGTCAAGCTTATCACCATGGAAACTTACGAATTTTGGTGTTAGAGATCCACAAGTTTTTTTAGAATGACCGCATATTGTTCATTTCACTCAATTATTGGAACCATATATATTATGTTAGCAAAGGACCTCAAGTCGCGCGTGTCGGGTGTATCCCGGGGGAAGTTTTCAAGGTATTGTTTATATGTCAATTTCATTACCGGTCAGATATGAAATAGAAATATCCTAACAACAAAACGTCACCAGTCTGTTTCGCAACAGAGGAATGTAATATAACTCAAAATATCGCTCTGTAACAACGAAAATGAAATATATACATTACAAAGTACTTTTTATCTATTAGTTGTATATATTTTATTATTGTCTTAAGGTAGAGATGCAATTTACCTGACAAGTATTTTCGGAAAGCTTATTGTATGAATATTAAAATTTTGTTAGTATTTTTTTTATGGACACTGTAGTTTGAAATATGCACAAAAATGTTCTTTTTTGATCAAAAGTGATTTGAAAAAAAATAGCTCTTAAACCATGCTTCTGTTTCCTGTCAAAATTGGTTTGTGGGTACATCAGTTTACTATGAAGAAAGTGCCGTCTTGAAAACTGTCTACCAGTTCTCAATTTTGCAGGACAGCAGCCCAAATTTCACTACTTCAAGTTTATGCATAAATTAACACCCAGGCTAGTTGTCTGTACGATTGTTGTGACACTGTTCAATCAAAAACAATGCCCCGACGGCGTTTTGAAGATAAACACATTGTCAATCATTTGTGAAAATTTCAAAACAAAAGGTCAAAGCATCAAGGAACTATTTTTTTTTAAAGTTATGGGATGTGCACTAAAAAGAAGCTGAGATAATTGCTAATTTGCATAACAATTCACTCAGTAAGAAGTTTGCTAATGCTCATAATTAAAATGGGTGTAACAGTTCCAAATTTAAATTTATTATCGTTTTGTTAAAAGTTAAATATAGTTTTCACCATGTTTCTTTTTTATTATTTATGTACAGCCTTGCTAAATCTTGCTAAGCATTCAAAATAGAGAATGTTTGCACCTGTTATCTATCTTTTAAAATCGTTTTTTGAGTATGTTCCACTATTCACAATTCTACAAAATTTTAACAGTCTATAGCCAAGACTGTTTGGATAATAACAAGCAAAAAAAAAAAAAATTCACTCCCAAGTGCCCACAAACCTGCATCTCTACCTTAACAAGCAAAAACAGATAGGAAGAACGCGACACAGATAACACAATAATCAAAACAATGCAAATGAATGGATAACATGACAAATGATAACTGCATTATGTTTTGACCTTTTTTTCAAAAGAACTGAAGTTTGAAAAAACAAACAAAAAAATTACATTCTGAAATTATTTATCAGCAATCGCACAAGTTCTAGCTAAACGGTTGAATAATTACAGTATTACAAATTTGACATCATTTTTTAATGGTTTAATGACAAAATGTCAGTGTTTGGTTTATGGGAAAAAAATACTGTCGACTAATCGTCAAATAATTATATACAGCTTTTGACATGTATTAATTGTTTGCACTACAATATCGTCGTTCATTTCAAAATCCTATTGTCGCCAAATGGGCATTGAATACAATGGTGTTTGGGGCGCTTAGCTCAAGCTATGCGTTCGTTCACACTTCCGTCGCTAGCCTGAGCTAAGGGACTCGTACGGTCTTAGAAAAGGGCCAGATTTACCTCGTACCATTTCTGCATATGATGCAGCGAGATTTTTCTGTCAACAATCCCTTTTATATTTTGTGCCAATTCTAACGCCACGCTCTGGGGAAACATATAATAGGCGTAGATTTGTCCAAGGCATTTGATACCATGTCACATTTCTTGACTATTTGCTATGCCTGGAGCGTGTGGCCCATCACAGAATGAAACTCGGAGTATTGCCAATTAACTTTCGAATAAAATGTAGTGTCAAGCTTTCAATTATTAAAAGTACATGAACGACTATTGGGATACTAATTCTACAACGACAAAGACGGATATTTATATATAGATATAGACATACATTAAAACATAGGAAAGAATAAGTTTAAACGTCGTTTTGCAAATTTTCAAATATATAAACATTTATTCTCAAAAGACGGTGTTCGAATTTCGTTTAAACAAACAGTGCATTTGTATACGAGTTATACGCCTATACGTTTTCTCTCAACACCATTTCGATGTGCATTGTCACATTTCTTCATGACCCGTGAGCATCGTTGGTATCAGCCCCTACTTTTAGCCCTTACTCTTGTATCAAGCGGCTAGTAGTGCTCACTTTTGTATTCACCATTCATAACCATTTCATTAGAGCTAAATTCAAGTTTGTGTTTATTTCTGAGTATAAATAAAGTTATTAATTGATTCTGTAGTGTTATCGGGAACTACATGTAATGTAATCTTTGCTGAAAATTGTTTGGTTATTTTTAACTCTATTCCTCAAAAAATGGAATCATGTTTACATTGGCAGTTGGCAGGACATCACAACTTTTCAAACACGTGTACAGAGCAGTTTATTCCCCGTAACCTCATCAGTACAAATCACTGTTCACTGTGCCCTCTTGTGTTGGTTAATTAACTGTGCCGCTTTTTTGTTTTTATCGTCCACGAAACAAACATACTATGGCGCGCGTGACAAAATTAGCTGTGGGAATTTCAATATTTCTGATTTGAACAAAACTACATTCGTCACCCACTTTTAAAAATATGAATCCCCGACATCAGAATGTGTTCACAACACCGTGACGTAAACACCTACAAACACGGCGATTTAGCGTTTTGTAGGGAACTATGGCGGGCGATGTTTATTCCACAGACATGTTACAGTCAAGATGATTGAACTTTATTACTGAAAATTATTAAAATATATGTTTTGTATAAATGGTTGAGTGGCCATGAATTGTTGGTGTTAATTAATCTCATGGTCACGGTATAATTCATAATGTTTGGCATCCTTAACTTGGTCGCGAAAATGACATCAACAATAATTGCCGAAAGCACTTTCTCAATGTAATATCACAGGGATCCCAGGAACTATAATCAACTATGTGCACAGTCTGTATGCATTAGTATCTACAAATAGATAAGAAACGAAGGTTCAAGCGACCCGACATTTTTAAAACTGGTGAAACAGACGAAAAGAAAGTAATATTTAATTTTATAGCTTTTTAGGATTAAATGGGACAGTTTTTCTAAAATGCGTCACACTGTGACGCATTTCAGCTCGGTATTCTATGGTAATATAAGTGAATCCGTCGGCGAGGGCGTAAAATCTATCGCCGACCATGTCTGGCTAAGACGTAACATGGACTTCTGCCAGAGACACGAAACTTGTCACTAGGTTACTTTTTAATTTTAGCGCAAATTACGTCGCAGAGACACACACTAACATTTCAATACGCAGGTTTGTAATAAAAAACGATACTTTTATGATATATTTTATTTTACAAATTCGCTGGAAGTTAATGTATCGCATCAGGTTATCGGCGAAACAAGAAAAATAAAACCCAGCTAATTATCTCCTGTATTGTTTGTAGTAATAAAAGTTTATTTATTTGTATATAATAATAAAAATTACCAATTTTGACACTTGTCTTCACTAGCGTTATTAATCGTGTGTATTGTATAAGCACTAACTCACTCGTCATAGTAATCCCTAAAACGAGTCGGATCTAACGTGATTGCCAGTTCGTTATCCAACTTCATATGCAGCTGCTGTCGATGGTACCACTTGATGAGCAGGACTCACTTACTGTGTGTGACGTCACGAGCCCATCATTTCGATGGCTAATTACCATAAAACCGTAAAATAGACATATATTCATCAGCACATAATCTAAATATACTTATATTCACAGAGATGACACATCTTGAAATTTCAGGGTAAACTCTTTCATTAAATTGAGAAAAAGATCCCTAAAGGGATACAAAACCGTGCCAGCGGATTTGACATAGCCTGGCCGCGACCTGTACCCCGCAGTCTTTGACCTGCGCCCTCCATCGTCCAGTTACTATGCTGTAGCCGTGCCACGTAGAAAATTATCTTTATCTGTCACCACCAAAATAAAGAGACATTTGCAATAGTCTGCAGAGACATGAATGTGATAACTATTACGTGCTTCATATTCTCATTTCATCGTTTGTGGTCTACATATTAGATTTTCCAGTCTCACTCGACATCGTATAACATTGCGCCCTTTGACGACCTATTCTGCTACCCGGGATGATATATTTCCATCTTTACTCAGACATCCCCAGCTGTGACCACCAAATGCACAAACCATTCACACAGTCCACGTGGACTGCAATAATCACTCAGCCACGTGTGTCACGAGCGGTCTGTTTCGGGTCAGCTGTTGATCATGAAATAATATTTGTATTGTCGGACAGACTGGCATTTGACAGTTCATGACACGAGTGATTATTAATAGTCATTCAATATCAACAATTTTACAACATATCCATTGTCTTTATTTCCAATTCCAAGAATTATAAATAAATTACACCGCAATGACGTCACCGCAAATCGCATACTGGTTAAGATAACACAGTAACAAATACGAAAATAAAGAAGTGCGAGAAAGACTCCACTTATATTTAATTTTACGGCATGTACACAGCAGATAACTTTTTATATGGAATTGAAGCATAATATTAAACAATCTGTTACAAAACTGTCAAAATCTAAAGGTTGCCATATTAATGATATCGTCTACTTTAGGTAGCCATGGTAACAATTTACCTCACACACCAAAAGTCATTTCATGTGAGAATTAAAATGACGATGTATAATTATACTTTAAAAAACGAAGATAGATTTCACAAAACAATTCAATGATTTTAGCCTACTTACATTGCATCCTTCACCAAATAAATATAAAATACACTTTATAAAAAAAAGAGGAAAAAAACATTATTAGCACCAATAAATTGGTCAGCTACTAGTTATCGTCATAATGAGCTAACCAACCGCCCAGATTACAGTGTTTCGGGGGAAAGCCAATTAAATGTTACTTATCGAATAAACTGAATCGAATCATTAAAGGTGGACTGTTACTTCAGTAGGGGATTATTTTTTACATTTTATTTCGAAATTCAACAGGTCACCAATTTCGAAAATATTTCATTTTTATGTAGTAGCTAGTCTGGTGTTACATAAAGTCATACACTAAACGATTCTCCCTGGAACATTTCAAATTGCACTAAAGCAGATCGATTATGATATTGATCCGACTTTTAATAATCCGAACACAATCCCATCCACGTTATTACGTCATCAGTATACGAAGAGCCCTGATGTGTTTGTTCCGAAATTCGAACATGATGTACATCCCCATGGAAACGATAAGTAAGGCACAGTTAAAATGAATCTTTATCCCCGTGCAAAGGTAGTTACTGTATGCGAATGTAAGCGCCGATCCGAGTGACTGCCACAGTCTATAATTCGAGAATGCTGCCTCTTGGTTCTCGCAATATAACACTCCAAGCAAAGCTGAAAAAACAACGTATGATAATAATATTTAATAGCATTATAACAAGTAATTTTTGTCCGTATTGTCGGTAGATATGAGAATATTTATCTTTGGAAATTTACCCATTCAGTTTAGTTCGTTGCATTCTAGTGAGAATAACACAAGTATAGATTTAATATTCGCACCGATGCGATGTTTATTGCCTTCAGTTATCCGAGTCTAAGCCAACAACCCTGGGTCTAATCCGATTGGTGATTGACAAGAACTTATTAAAGCAAGCATATATCATTTTTGTCGCAGCCTTTTCGAAAGTTGAAAACACATTCCACAAAACACGACGGCAAAGATTCACGTTATTATTCAGATAATCAGCGGTAAACAATTCATGTAATTGTAATTTATGAAACAAAATATATTTTAATAATCAATCAACTGAAATCAAATCAAAATTTCCACTCGGAAGAACAAGATGAATAACCTGATATATGATTGAATTATGAGAACACTTACAGCTGACTTGAGTCTGCCAAATTGCGTCCGCAAACCCCCACATTGCAGCAACGACAAAGAATAGCTTCAGATCTTCGACTTGAGGCTCCCAATAAAACATCAAAACCAATAGCCCAAAATGGATTATCGCTCCCAGATTGAAGAGGGTAAACCTTCCGATGTACTTCCGCATTCTCCCTAGAATGAGTGACGCGGTGGCCTGCATGACGCCGCAGAACAGCATAATGTATCCCACGTAATGAACACCCAAGGAACAGCTGATGAAAGCCTGAGAAATAAAATCCATAAATTGAGAGACAGTAATATAAATATCAGCATTGTTCGATTTCTTTGGTGTAATCGATCGGTGTCGATTTGAATGCAGACCAATCAACTGACTGGAGCATCGTGCAAGCATCTCTGATCGGAATTTATATGATGATAAACAAACAAAAAATCCAAACATATGATCGACAACGTGGATAACACATATAAAAATATTATACACACGACATTGATTTATTATGTTAATTTCACTATATATAAAACCATACGATATATCATATATATTCCTCCAATGGGATTTTTAAAGAAGAGGATTTATCATATCTATTATTAATAAAATTATTATTCTGCAGCTGTGTATCTCTAATTGTCACCCGGCCTTTTATAACCTGATAAGCCGAGATCACGCAATTAGTTGCGACTGTTGGTGAAACACTCAATTAAATAATACATGCAAATGGGTATACCTGTGTGAAATCGCCAGCTATGTAAGCCATTTCAACGCCCGTATACATCATCAGAGGCACCAGGAGATAGAGGCTGTGGTCCCCTAGTAATCGGAGAGTGACCGTCAGTCGTGCCCTGGCGGACGTATCTTCCAGTGGACGGTGGTAGCTGGGAAGTTCATCCATCACAAACAACACAATTATTGCACCAACCACACCACATGCCAGATACACGTTCACCAGATTATTTTCCATAGGTCTGGGCGGTTGTATAAGCGAAGCCACTCCGGGTGGTTCTTGACCCGGGCAAAAGTTTGTACCACAAAATGCGGGATCCGCGGATATATTTTCCGAAGCTTCAGTAATGAGCATGTACGACGAAAGCAAATTGCCCCAAATTTGAGAAGAAAGGAAAAACATGAAGAAAATCCCATTGAAATAATTAACCACGACTTCCTTAGACTCGCAATTGATTTCGGCGTATTTTAGAGCAGTGGTCGTCAGATAAGACCCCTGGGAGGTCCACAGCGTTCCCGCCGCAAGGCCAAGACACGCGGCGGCTGGAATCAGAGTGTAGAAACTGGAAAACAGATTGGAGGCGGTGTACATTGTATAGAATAGCATGGAGTAGAATATAGTACGCTTGGTGCCCAGTCTGGTGACGACGTTGGGCGCTACCAGACAGGAAAGTATAAAACAACCATATATAATGCTCAACGATGTAACACCGAGACCAGCGGATTCGTTGATGCTACTTTCTAGATTCTGTAATGCGTTGAAGGACGTAAAAACGAAAGTAAACGATATACTGAGAGCTAGCAGATTCTTCCAACATCTCCTGGACTCAGAACGGGTGAACGGGTGTGGAGTGTCGGCTACTTCCACGTTCGTGATGAATTGTCCGGTGGTTTTCCCTTCCATTGTGATCGTTCAGCTTTGCTGATCACAATCTAACAGTTGTTGTTGGTGTGGTGTGTCGGCACAAACTAGTAATACAGTTGCACGAACACAGACGTCACTGTATATGCGCTGTCGACGTGTACGCTGTATACGGTACTAGCCGTTCAATGCTACAAACATCAGCTACATAGCTCGTCCAATATGGCGCAGTACACAATTCACACGATTCAGTGAAGCATGCAGTATTTATTGGTGACATGTGGTCAGAATGTACTTCCAATAAGTATTCCAATGTCAACATATAATGCTCAGTCCTATCCACAATCTGCCACTTGTACAGTTCAAAGAGCCACGCCCCTTTTCAGTAGCTGGTTGACACTCGTGTAAATCACGCGACGGTTCCGATGTCAGATCGTGGGAATACGATTATTAACACACACGTTTTCTATTCATATTTTCAAAAACGGGCTCCATTATGCATTTGGTAACATTCACAAGCTACACTCGCCCGCCATGTTTTAAAACAACAAATTGTACCCAACTACGCATAACACTACCGTCCACAAAACACAACACCCAATCAAGCCATTTCATTGGCTGTAGAAAGGTAACAACCCCCGTACACACAACACCCAATCAAGCCATTTTCTTCACGTTGAATATAGGATCTAATAAAATTATCGGACGATATTTTGTCACTTAATACATGTACTAGTATTTTAACCAGCGCATATTAGCAATCAAGCGAGGGAATTAGGGGGCGCACCGTGCATGTCCCCCCTTAAAACCGTTGTTACTCATATATGTACTATACTAGTATATCACAATGTAATGAGGCAATGTAAATGTGCATCTCCGTCCCTTTCCTAACCTCCAGCATCCGCTGCTGACAACAATCGTGATAATTTAGATAAATTTTCATTAGAGGAGTTAAAGCCGATGTCAGAAATGGCGACATAGTACAAGTATTGAGAGAGGGCGTGATGGGAACGGAATATATTTTTGGTACAACCCTATATTTTCCACTGTAGCAGGCCGCAACAGCTCGTTAGTCATCTTACCCTTAATTCGTTCCTTTCAACCACCCCGGACACCCTCCAATTCGTCTAAAGGTTAACTGGTTGGTTTTAGTAGCAGCTCATTAGGGGATTGGTTTCCAAGGTAACAGTGTCTGGTTAATACGAGCACCACCTGTCGACCTGTCACTATGTGTCATGAATGACGACTTGTTGCCTTTATGAACATTTCCAAAATATATACCATATATATATATTTAAAACAATGAATCATATCCATGTCATTGATAAAATACCGCAATTTGAATACGAATCCGAATTAACATGGTACATCAAATTTGAACACGAATCCGTATTAACATGGTACATACAATTTGAATACGAATCCGAATTAACATGGTACATACAATTTGAATCCGAATCCGAATTAACATGGTACATACAATTTGAATACAAATCCGAATTAATATTGTACATACAATACTACTTGCATCCACCTTGGCACCCCACCCCCCACATTGTGACTTTGTATCTGGTTCTGGATCTTATTGATACATTTATGTAGTAAACATGGGGCAATTCGTCTTTGGTGCGTTGAAGCAATATCGTTTTGGAAACAACTTTTTGTCTTTACTAAACTCCATTAATTCAATAATAATGGTCAACCAGATGTTTTGGACACAAAACCAAAAGGTTATTAAAAAAATGCACATGGTATGATGACCCAGCGATGCTGACTGGCAGCGCCATCACAATACGCATAGTATACTACTTTTGTTTTAGTAGTTTATGACATGAATCAAGAGTAAGGTGCGCCCTGGTCAGCTGAATGCTGCGGATTTGGGATCAATCCTCTAGCTGTGTCAACTATATTGTAATATATATTGCGAATACATACTTGTTTGGAAATGTAGAATTGTGTGTCAATCGATATTTAGTGAACATGTGTATAGTTGACGGATTTTAAACTAAATGTGGACTCAAAAGCAGATCTTAATAGGTGACATTTTGAGAAATGCCATTACCTCTCTGAAGAGGCTGCGTGACAACTGATGGATGTTGTGTGTACGGGGGTTGTTACCTTTCTACAGCCAATGAAATGGCTTGATTGGGTGTTGTGTGTACGGGGGTTGTTACCTTTCTACAGCCAATGAAATGGCTTGATTGGGTGTTGTGTGTACGGGGGTTGTTACCTTTCTACAGCCAATGAAATGGCTTGATTGGGTGTTGTGTTTTGTGGACGGTAGTGTTATGCGTAGTTGGGTACAATTTGTTGTTTTAAAACATGGCGGGCGAGTGTAGCTTGTGAATGTTACCAAATGCATAATGAGGCATCTTCTGTAGATTTTAAGTTGAATGAAGTGAAAAGGTCTTCTTGTTTTATAAACATACATAAATTTACATACTCTCACAACAAAAGCATCAAATTTTTATTGGCCAATTGAATAAATGTTTTCAAATGACGTTGTTGCATTCTGTGATCTTTGATTGGCTGGCTGAGTTAAACTTCCATTGAATATTTACGACGATGGAGGAACAGCCTTCGTTTTGCCAAGAGTAAAAGCCTGTAAGCCATTAAAAAGATAATTATTTTCACACAAATTCAATTGAGGATGAATTCCATCATGTTATGAAATGCCCACAACATATTACAATTAGGAGCAAATTGTTTGACTCAATTAGAAATAAAATTGTTAATTTCCATTTGATGGATGAAGATTCAAAATTTAAATACATTATGGGCAACACTTCCACATTAATACAGCTTGGTATTTTTATAAAAGAAAGTGTGGTAAAGTGATATAGTAATTATCAATTCTCTGATTTTTCTAAGCCCATTTGTTAAACTGTTTTTGTTTATGTATTTAGGAATTGTTAACTAGTTATATATGTTTCATTCAAAATGGATAATGTCAATAATAAAGTTAATAAAGTATCACTCCATCATTGACATTTATTGTCAGAAGTGTTCCCAGTTTAGCTTGTGGGCGCTCATGTCAACTTAACATAACAAAAATTTAAAGTAAAAAATCTGGTGAATTTCACAAAATTCAAATTTTCCTTCTGACAAAAGTCTCATTTACAGTGTCTTGTATTGCCAAAATATCAAAAACACTGTATACAGTTTACAAAATACAGGAAAACAATAAAAATCCTAGTACTTGTATGTAAGAACAGTCTAGCTACTGGACAGTCTACCCAAGATAGAATGTAATTCTCTACATTTATGCATTACTGTCAGCCTCTATTATATCTGCAATACATCACGGGGAAGAGTTATATTTCAGTATCCTTATGCATCAAAGTTGTGTTATACACAATGCTTCCCACTGATTGTAATCAGCATATAAATGATAAAATCAGTTGGCATGCCAACAAATCCTGAAATATTGGAGTATTCCGCTAGCCTGTATTGAAGGTCATGGTGTCTAATCGCCAAATCAAACATAATTATCATTGTTATAATCACTCAAAGCCACTTTATTTTAGGAGTTCTTCTAAATTTGATTTCAGGATAATATTTTTACAAAGCCTGTATGATGCTCACAGGGGTCAGTGAGAGGTCATACAAAAAAGGAAATCAACTTTATAATAACAAATTGAATGTTATAATACTTCCTCAACATTATGATTTTGTCTATAACTTTTAATTGACATAATTTTGCATTACATATCAATGTAGATCAAAGCGTTTTAACAGATTATGAAAAAGCTACTGTGCAGGTTTCATTTGCAAAAAGTGACAAAAAAAATGTTATTCAATGATTTAAACCACTGCAACTCTGAGCAGGTCCAAGTAATTTGACATTGACATTTATAAAATTACAGTAATAAATCTCAATTTACGAATTAAAACTAAAGAGGAAACATTTGATGAATTCTTACGATCGTCTATAACCATGGAAACAGAAAGTGGTGAATTCTTGTCAGATAGAAGCTAAATAAACATGTAAATGACAACACAGTAAATTTACATCATATTTCAAAGTTGAGTTCTATCATGTTAACAAAACTATCTAATACAAAAATATAAACAACAGTATAGAAAATTGTACATTCTGACCACTGAGGGCGCACAGATAGGGTTAGGAGATTTGGGTAAAATTAAAGATTATATGTATATGCCATCTTATTAATGCTTAAATAATTTAAAAAAAAAGGGTTACCAGAAAATATTTTGACTGGTAAGTGAAATTCGCTAAATTAAATCCATGTTAACATGCAAAATTACAATAGAACTCATTGATCTACACTGGCAAATCTATGAATATAAAACTCAGCTAATATTTTGTGTTTCTTTGCAAAAAGTTGCGCACACAAGTGAGATGCATCATGGGATATCCAATATGCACGTAGGGTTTCATTAAAGCCAAGAGAAAAAAACAACTGAAAACTCAATTTGTTTCCCAAAATCAATGTATGTGGCCAGTTTTTTTCAATTTTATACAAAAATTGTCATCAAATTTTGGTTTTATTATGATTTTCCTTGAAAACTTAATTTCTTTCCAGAAACCTAAAAAAAAAGCTGCAATGAGTACATTTTTACCTAGCTTGCACAATGATCAATAACAAATATTTTTTACTGGGTCTTATAAGTAGTATTTGTTTGAAGTCTTGATGTTTTTTAAAATTCTTTTTGAAAGTCGCATACATAAATAAAATGAAACATTTGCAGCAGTGATATTCAGATAACAAAAAAATTAATCTCATGATTTTATTCTACCTACAATGAAAGGCAACATTTTAAGGTATTTTTCTATAATTTTAGATCTTTGGTATCTACTATGAATACTCCTTAAAGTGAGTAATTTTAACTAAGAATTTAAAAAAAAAATTCTACATTTCATAAAAATTATGAACTTTGATCTTGTAAATCTGATTTTATTTTTTATTCATAGCATTGAATATACTCTCTGTAAAGTTCGATATGATTGAAAATTATAATTTCATTAAATATTGAAATTAAATTTAAAATGTGTGCATACATAGTCAACATTGAAAAACAATAAATTAATTTCCTCATATTAGTATATCTGTTCAATGGCAGTATTTTAACTTAAATAAAATAAAAAAAAAAAAAAAAACAGAAAAAGAAATCTATGAAGGAAGCACACCTCCAATTTGTTATGTATATCTACAATTCTGAAACAAGAAACCTGGATGCACTTTTCAAAATTCGTTGATTAAAATTAAGTTTCTTCATTTTTTCAAGGCAACACTTTATTGCATGTCCTTTTGCTAGATAAAGTGAAAATCAAATTTTTAGCATTTTCATTGCATGTACTACTTATCTACCCAGGGAATACGTCCCTGTTGTCATTTATATACAAATTGACAAAACATTAATACACCATTACAGGGTTTACAGGCCATTGAAAATTGGCGAATCACAGCTCTGGCACAAAAGTGTTAAAATATGTAAATTAGCAAATATATCAGTTTATAAGATTACATCTGATTCGTTGCTGATCAGTATGAACACTACTGTGATTGGTCAAATGTAATTAGAGGCATTGTACATTGAAGACCACATTGAAAAGTGACCAAAGCCTTTACGCCTGACTCTCAGATTGAACAGTGTAACATGTATAATTAGACTCCATTACAGTGAGTGACAAAGCCTCACACTGTAACACTGTTGAAAATAGTTTCATGCACATTTTACTAAACATGTTAAATGAATGCATCTTATATAGAAGTGGCCTTTACAAACATTTTTGATCTATATGACTCAAGTGTACATTTTTTTAGATTCTTGGAGCGAGAATAAAAAAAACAAAAATATCTCTGGTCAATTTATTCTTCAAAATTGATAGTTTAAAATTGTCATAAAAATTGTGCTTTTGAATTTTTTTTTTCGTTTTTAACAAAAATAAAACACATTTTTAACTGATGTTTGTGATGACAAGAAACCATATCACAATATGCAATTATAAGTTCAATGACCTGACCAAATGAGACAAGAAGTGAACATGTCATTAATAATTATAGCACTTTGAACTTTGCATTGATATATCCCACAATGCATTATTTGTGATTCAATCTACCATTTCTTTTTAAAAGCCCTCTATGTCGTAATGGGCGACACGAAAGCCACGCAAACAAAGCATCGATATTATTTTGATCCATACTTTCCCATCAATAAAAATTATGATATTTTTTAGAGATTTTACTATATTCCCCATGACAAATGACTACACAAGCAGTTGATTTGAATGACAATGAAGTTCCCTGTTGTTAATAGAGGGTGCGACTTGTAGCGGTTAAATGTTTTTTTTTTCCATTGGCATTCCTGAAAAGCCGCAATCATAAAACCCTTAGTTGCAAGGGAGAATAGTTTCCTATAGTGACTGTGTATAAAACAATAATAACTTACACTTCATTTCGCCAATTTGTTTCGAAAAGCACAAAATCGACAACTTGAATGTACGAAATTTCATGCAATTAAATCAACACATGAAATTGAAACTAATGGTTTTAGCGAAGTTAATGAAACATGACTCGTAAATACTGTTGTCTTGCCATTAAGAACCTCAATGTTGATGCATTTCCGAACTCTTTATGTTAAGTTGATTCTTACTTATATTTCGGCATATCTGACATCTATGTGTCTAATTTTATACTCGACAGTTCCATACATTAACATGGACGTGACCAACAGTGCTCCCGCTAAGTAGAGTTTAACATTTACGCATAGGTAATTACTGTATGCAAATGAGATGGTGAATCCAAGGGCTTGCCAGAGACGATAGTTTGAGAAAGCCGGTTCTTGGTGTTCTGGAAATAGAACTCCTACAAATGCTGAAAAAAAAACAAAACAAATGGTTATATTAAATCTGGGTTTACTAAGGAGGGAGGGACAGCACAATAGCACTCACACAGAGATGGTGTTCGCGTACAGTAGGGGGTATTTATTACTAATCTAAAACTTACAATCAACTACTACTGATGAGATTAGTGTTCTGCACCTTTGACAACAGGCGATGGAAATGTCAAAGGTGACAGTTCAAAGGAGATATTCAAATCACTTGCAAGGCTGACCCAGAGGATACCACTTGTAACTGTTGTATGTACTACCGTAAAATTCCTAATTGAGGCTGCGGCTTTAATTAAAATTCATTTTTTCAATGGACGAATTCAGATGCGTGAAGTCTTGGTGCGGCTTTAATTAGAGCATTCACTTGGTAACAGTGGGAAATTTTTTCAAAAAACAAAGGCCAGAAGGGATAATGATATGCTAATGAGATGCACAACACTCGATTGCAACTTTGTTGCGATTCTAAGCGCACTTTCGGATTTTTACTAACAGACAAACTTGTACACAAACGAAATTTCACACTGTATAACATACTGCACAATAAATAATATCTACAAATAGATTTGTATGCATTTGCAGATTACGGTACTGTATACTACAATCTCTTGAATAGACTAATTCGTTAGCACCGGTATAGGTCACAAGTGAGAGACAGCCGTCTGACACAGTCGATTGCGTTCGACTACTGGCATGTTCGACTTCCGCCAGAGTGACTGTACATTCCATGTTTAATTTAGACATCGGGGAAATTAAAATAAAAAAATAAAAAAAGTCAATCAAAAAAAAAATGTTCGCATGATAACAAAAAAAATACTCAGTATATTATTTAATGTAATATATATTTATTTTCTTATTTTTTTTTTGATAACGAAAAGTATATTCTAAAAGAAGTAAAAACAAAAACGAATGCATTCTTAGTAGCAAATGATCACGGTAACGGTCATGCTGCATTTCACACAAGTGAATAACTTACTTGTTTTCGAAGTGTTACAATTGCTGATTATTACAGAGCATAATTTTGACAACAAAATGAACAAATTTGAATGAAACTTACATGCTATCTGTGTCTGCCATACTGCATCACCAAGCCCCCAGAGTGCAGCTATGAGAAAAAACAACCACTCATAATCGGGAGACGGTACCCATAGCAACATCACAACAATCAATCCTAGTTGCGTGAAGGCTCCTAGAATGAATAATGAGATTCGTCCGACGTATTCTTCAATTCGTCCCAGTATTAACGAAGACACAGCGTCTGTTAAACCATATGCAATCATCACGTACCCGACCATTTGGACTCCAAAAGTACAGCTGATAAAAGACTGCAAACAAATATACAGAAATGTTTTAAACTCATAGTTGCTGTCGACATAGGAAGTAAAGTAAGCAAA